TGCTTCTGAATCTTTATCATTCTTAGCCTGGACAGAATTCAGTAGCTGTACAATTTGTTCTTCTCGTCTTTCATCCATGTGTACTACAGCTCTCTATTTTGTGCAAAGGAAAAAGCATCTTTTTCAACATAAGAATGTGCAAAATTATTAACTAAAAAAAAATAAAGACAAAGTAATATGTGTTCAATAAACATATATAAAAGATATATATGATTGGTGAAGACAGTATATTTATGTCTCTTCCTACAACTTTGGCTCTCTTAACTCCAACGCTTACATATTAATTATTACGAATTTTTATCTTAAATTTTCAAAATTCTTAAAACCCAAATGGTCTGCCAAAAAAAAAAAAAAGTTGAAAACTGGAATATTTTGGTTGCAATGAGTACTTAAAATACTTATAATAAAAAGAAGAATAAAACAGGGAGTAAGAAGACTGAGCTCAGAAGTAATAAATAAAATTGATTAAGTGCTGATGGAGATGGTGATCCAATGTGGCAAATGAAGCAGTTGGCTTCAGAGAATGAGAATAAAAAAAACAACAGATTTGATACAAGATAAGACCTTTGGGGAGCTATGAAAATTTTTTAGAAATTTTAAATATGCATCTAAGAAATTTAACTACAGGCCAAGGTAAAAAAAGAATAAATGCCAAACCTAATTCTTTGGAGACTTTTGTTTTTCAGATATAGCAAGTTGAAAAACAGATTTTTCAAAGTCTATGGGCCTACAAACCTCAGGTTCTTTAAGATCCATAGTTAAGAATGTGCATATGAATCCACAGGCAACTGGAAACACGTGAGGAATGGGGAAAATTAAAGAGTGTAATGTTAAAGAACTGAAGAAAGAGGAAGGTGAAAGTATGAATGAAAAAAGTTAAAAATTGGAATGAGGAAGCCTTACCCTTAATAGGTATTTAATGGGGGTGGGAAAAGGGCAAGTGAAAAGAATTAAAGACAACTGTTTCAAATTAAAGGGTGAGCCCTGAAAGAAAAGCAGTAAGATCAGCCATTAGAGGGCTACTGTGCATCTTTCCTTCATCTCTCCTTCATTTGCCACCCTACTGCAATCTGGTTTTTACCTCCACAATACCACAGAAAGGGTTCTCATCAAGGTCACCTTGATGACCTTGTAGGTAAATCCAATAAATAGTCTCAGTCCTTACTTTACGGCATCTGTGCATGCCTGCCACTGATTACTTTCCCTTGTTTTTATACTCTTCTCTCCCTTAAACACTATTCTTGGATTCCAAAACAACACTCACCTTCTTATTCTTTTCTTCTCTGGCTACTCCTTCCTAGATTCTTTTGCAACCTCGTCTTCCTCAACCGGACCCTTAAATTTTCATGTTCTACAAATACAGCCTGATTATTCTACAGACCAGCAGCAATGGCATCATCTAGAAATAATTGGTCCCACCAGTCCTATATTTTAACAAGATGCCAGGTGATTCCTATGCATATTCAAGTTTGAAAAGCAATGGTCTACAGAATTCAGACATGGGCCCACTCTTCTCACTGTTTACTCCCATACTCCAACTACCATTCAATGGCCCATGAACTGCCAAATGCTCGTCTGCAGTTTAGATTTCTCTAGGCGTCAGATCCACACAGCTCTCTAGCTCCTGGAAATCTTCATTTGTAAGTCCTGTGACAATATCAAATTCATAGTGTCCTTAGCTGAGCCTATCTCCAACAAGCCTTCCCCTTATATAGGCATAAAAGTGTCATCCATTAACACTTGCTGTCCCCAGCCCTCCAGATAATCACAAATCATTTTGAGTTTACCTCCTAAATCACTTTAATCTGTCCACTTCCCTCTATCTCCACTGCAAATGTCCTAATTCAAGCTGTCATTTCTCACCTTAACTACTGCAGTGGCTACTTAACTGGCCTCCTTGCCGCAGAACTGCCTCTCTTCAATTCATTCCCTATAGTCCTACCAGAGTGAATTTAACATTTAAAATTCAGTCATGTCATTCTTTGTTTAAAGTGCTTTAATAGCTTACTACAGTTCTTAGGGAAAAGTCAATGAATCTCAAAGCCCTGCTTATTTTTCTAGCCAAGAGCTTTTCAATCTGCTGTTTGTGAAATTACATTAAAGAATCATTAACAGCATTAATAAAAACAGAGTGGAAAAAAAGTTCAAAAACAACAACAAAACCCAGAGTAATGCACAGGTAATTAAGTATTACCTTACAAAACTTTTGGTTTAGTTGTACATATATGTGTACCAGATTGTAAATGAAAATGTATTCCTTTTTGTGTGAAGTGGTCAACAACTTTGAAGTCTACTTCTCCATCCTCATCTCACCACACTCCACTTCCACGCTCTTACCTTTCAGTTCCGTGAATGCAGTCTTCCTGACTTCCATGTTGTGGCATGCTGCTACCCCTGCCTGAAGATCCGTTCCAAACCCAAAACCCCAAACACACAGACTTTGGTATCTTTCAAAGTTTGAGCTTAAGGAAAGTCTTCTAAAATACCTTGATTTGAGTCAGGTGACAGTCTATATTCTCCTTATCATAATACTTTCATTGTATTATAAATGTCTATAGCCTCTATCACTGTAAGGTAGGGACTATAATTAATAAAGTGCCTATGATACAGTCTCAAACACTGCCCTCAGTAAATATTTGTAGAGAGAACACTAAGAAAGCTCATTAGAATGCATTCAATTTGTAAACAGGAGGATTACTTTAAAAGTAAAAGCTATGGAAATTCTGACTGGGATGTAATCACATCAGGCTGAAGGTAGTCAAAGGAAGAGTTAGGATGAGCCCAATGAAAAATGCACACATTTAAAGATGAAGAGGTGCATTTTAGACAGGAGAATGGTATGACCCTGTAATAAAAAGCAAAAATAAAATGTTTACAAAAGCTAGAATTACATCACACTGGAAACATGGGCTCAGAGAGAAAAGTACATAGAGGAAAATCTGTTATGTTGAAGCCAGATTACTAAGATTCCCAGAAAACATGTTAAGAGGCCACTGAAATGTATCTGACTGAGACAGAAATGACATGATTTTCAATCTCAAGTTGTGAGCTCAGGAACGAAATGATCCTCCTTAAAGATCACCATGGATGGGTGGCTCTATTAAGGAAAGACTTAATGGGGAGCAGGAGTGAAAGCTAGAAGACTAATTAGGAGGCTATGAACAGAAAACAAAACAGTAGCTTGATCTATGGTAACTGCTGTAGACATTAGTGGTTGAATTTGAGATATATTAAGAAGGCAGAGCAGACGCATTTGCTGAAATGAAAGGGAAGAATCAAAGATAAATTCCATTTGGTCTTGGCAAGTAAATAAATGGTAGTGACATTTACTAAAATGAAGGTATGAGGATGGGGGTGGAAATCAAGGGTTCCATTCGTATCCTCTGCACAACTGGCTAAATACCTATCATGTGGAAATAATGAAAATGTTCCCTGACTTACATAACTTTTCATCTGTTTAGATCTTATTTTCCCAGCTAGACCATAAGCTCCCTGAATATTACATTTCTTCGGATCCCTGTAAAAACATGCATTAAACCTTGTTTGAAACAGAGGGTAAATAAAAGTTACATACTTATGACACAATTATTCTAATTTCAAGATGGTGTACATGTGCCTAACCTGATTTTCAAAAACCGGTTTGCTCAATGAACAATTTTAGACTGTCAAAGAAATGAGTTTGTCTTTTAAAGAGAAGAATGTGATAAGTTATGATAAGAAATGGAGAAAGCCTCCAAAACACGTCAATTAAAATAACATGGTTAAAAGAAAAAGAAATGGAATGGTTTGAAAATAGTAGACTAAATAATGATTTAATTACACTCTATAATACGAAAACTGCTTTTAATAAAGTCACTAAAAAGCTGTTCTAAAGCCTATATTAAGAAAGTTTCTGTTTAATGATAAAAGTTAATTTTTTTATTAGAAAGGCCACTCAGGGAACTTCATGTTTCCTTTACTACAGATCTTTAAGATGCAAATCAAACTGACAATCGCCTGAAGAGATTAAGCCAAATTATCTCTTGAAGTGTCTTCCACTTCCAGGATCCCAAGTTTCCTTCTCAAAGTGAAGGTGGCAATCAATACAAATTTTCCCACCCCAACATAGAAACAAAAAACCTGGGTTTGTGGCTGATAATTTTAACACTAACAATAAAAGCGGGATTATTTTTCTGAACGATCTACATTCAAAATAGTGTTTGGCTGCTTTTGTTCCGCGCAAACCTATCTCTAATGCAGAAAGCCGCTATTTTGGACTTCACCAAGCAAAGGACCTACATGAAAGTGACAATAATTATTCTAAGGAAAAGGACCAGAGATACGACAAAGACACCCCTAATAAAGTTAATTTCTGTTGGAACCTTGATTTAACATTTGTTTTGTCCACAGTTCTCACGTCCTTTAAGCAAAGTATACATTCAGCCTGCATAAATCCTGCTTCGGGTCACACGCGCATGGCTAACGTTAAGTGATGTAACACGCGCTGCAGGAAACTTGAGCAAAATACAGCTGCACCTCATTTACACTTCACAAAGCACGTGTATCAGTTAAGAAACAAAAGCAAGAAAAAAGGGGTAAAGAAAACCTGTCACGGCTCATCCCCTCCACTATCGAATCTCAGATTACCTCCTGTCTTTCCGCTTCCTTGTTCTTCTGTCCCTGTTTTTTCGCGTACCACAGGCCGATTTCGCGGCCTTTCAGGTGCCCGGGATGCCGGCCCCTGCCGCCACGACCACCCCCTCCTCCGCCGCCGCCTCCGGAGCCTCGGCTCCCTCCGTGGCCCCCTCGATGACCCCCTCCATAGTTCCCACTGGAGCTGCGGGGCCCTCCATCGCGGCCCCAGTTCTGATGGTAGTCATAGCTCATTGTCCTGGCAGAATACAACCCGTAAGAAACCGCAACCGCTAGAAATGGCGCCCGGGCCCGGAAGCGAGTGCGCGTCCACTTCCGTTTTGCTTCCGGCGCCCAGCGCGAGAGGGAGGGCCATTTAGCATCACAAGCAGCCGTTTCCGGTGACGCCACGGGCGGATGGCAGTGGTGGTCTGGAGAGTGACCCGGATTAACTTTTCTGTGTGAGGGCAACTGGGTTGTCTACCTTTGTACGTCTGGAGGAAGAACGAGCGAAAGGCTCGCAAGTTTTCTTTTCCTAGGCCTGGCAAGTGAGGAAATGACTTTTGGGTTGTACTTTATTACTCGTCGTTTACCGAGTGAAAGCATCTGGAGTATGCTATCAATTAGGCCCAGGATAGTAAGCGTTGATTGAAACAAAAGCACCCATGGATCGATGCCCTGTCTCCTAAAAGTCTCTAAAGAAGTAAGTGCCTCATACGTCTTGAAAACAGCCTGACATCTTTCAAATAATGACAATAAGTTTGAAAGTGCCCCTGCCTCCTTTAAAGGATTGTCATTATTTAGTACCTTTATCCCATAAGATAAGATAAGCATGTCTAACCCAAATTCAGTGCAGAGTACTTAGGCAACATGTGTAAATAAACAGCAATTGAAGATTCATATGTTCATTTGAAGCCATATACTGTTCGTTAACCAGACCACTTAGTGTTTTTGTGCAAGCTGTTCTTGAATAATGAAGTTATAGGGCCACACAGACTTGGATGTTCACCAGTGGATAGCCACTTCATTTATTTAAAAGTGCTGGGAAATACTCATTGAACCAAGCAAGTATGGCATGAGCTTTCATTTGCTTACAGTATTGGGGCGAAGACAAAAGCCATCATTGTGTAGTGAATTAAGAAAGGGAAATGCTGTATGCTATGAAGGGTCCAGAATACACCATTGTGGCCTAAAAATTATTTTGAGCAGAAGGCATTTGAATTTCTGAAATCTCTTACCTGCCCGAAAGCAGATAGCCACCTAAAAAAACTCAAAAGAGCTCAATTGTCCTAAATCTCCTCCTTGGGAGGGAACAGGGAAGACTGACTCATCACTGGAAACTACAAGTCCCCAGCATACCTAAACAGACACTGCCACAAAACCATCATATCTTGCATCTGTTTTAAGGTCCCAGTTATCTTTCCTAAAAGTCATTTGTTTTCCCGTAAGTGCTCTTCTTCCCCTCCCCTTCCCCTATTAAGGTAGTATATAAGCTCCAAACTCTAACTGCCTCCCTGAGTCTCATTTTTCTGTGAACTTCCTTATGTATGTGGTTAAGTCTGTCTTTTCTCTTTGGAAATAGGTAACATTTGACATTTTTATTAACTAGCTTCAGATGTCATATAGCATTGCTTCTACTATATTTTACTAGGTAGGACAGTTACAGATGCCCACCCAGGTTTAAGAGCAGTTAGGGCCTCACCAAATTATAGGAATGGAGCCAAAGTCACAGTAGAAGAAGAGCATGTGGAATGGGAGGCATTGTGCTCCTCTTCGAAGATACTATCTGCATTAGTGCTAACTCAGGCCCTCTCCAAAACCATGTTGGGGCCACCATTTTGACAGTTTTACAACTTTCTTATCACAGATACTCCCACTGCTGTCCATGTGACAACTAGAAATAGGAGAAGGGATAGTAATACTATAAGTAGCATTTATTGAGTGCTTATTACGTGCTAGGAACTGTGAGTGGGCACAATTTTATCTGTATTTTACTAGACTTAGGCCAAAATCTCAAGAAATGGAAGGACTAAAAAGAATGAACCCTCTCTTAGTTCCTGAAAAATACTGCAGTCTTAAGAAAATTAGGAAAAAAAAAAACCCTACTTGTCTATAAACATTCTTCATGTGTCCTTGCTTTATAAAGCTTCCATTTTCAATTATTCAAACCTCATTCGTCTAGTTATCAGAAATGTCTTAAAAATCCAAAATGGACATATTTTCAATCCTCTCCCTTATAAGTCATATTCTCAGTGGACATTTCACAATTATAACTACAAAGAGGGAGGATAGTGAAGTCTGCCCTGGAAAGATGATGTGAGGAAATGGAAATCACTGGCACATACGAAGTAGAACAAAAAAACCTCATTGTTACAGGAGATCACGTGAAGGTAGTGAGGATGGGGCAGAGGAGAGAGAGATGTGGTTGGATCACGACCTCCTGCCTCCACCTCAGCTTTTGCCACATCTCTGGCTTAGAGCTCTGAAAGCAGACCATGTTTTGAAATATATTTTTAAAAATCTCTGGTTGTAGATTTTAGTATATCCAGTGTTTGTGCTAACAAGAAAAATTACTGACTGAAGCCTTGTATTCCCCTAGAATTCTAGGAGATTTTATTTCTTAATTATTTCAAATTAATCTGTCCTCCTTTTTGCCAATTTTATCTGTTACTGCCACCTGCTTCTTTTGCTTTACTTATCTTTGGAGAATCTTTTAGACAAATCAGGATTTTTTTCCTGGTCTTCATCCTAAAATTGGTGAGGTCTCTTGATCCAAGAATACCAAACCTTTGTTCTACCCAAATCGATAAAATGTATTCTTCTTGAATAAAGAAGAGCATCATATCATTATCATGGTATGATTTCCATATAACACAGGAGGAGCTTAAGATCTATAAATTTCATTTTGTATCTTAGAGTTATATATGTAATGCTATGGCTAAAAGGGTTTTAGAGATCATCTAAATAATAATCCAACTGGGCTCACCTCATCCCCAATCTTTCTGACATCCAGTGCTCTTTTCACTGTACACCCAAGACAGTTACACACCAGGAAAGGTTATAGCTTGTGGTTATTTCAGTTTGTGTTCCTGTAGAACATAGATGGCAAACTCACGTGAGGATAATTCAAGGAGGGTTTATATATATGCATATAAAAACTATGTACTCAGGTGCAAGTGTAAAGAGACCATAAGACATTCCTATAAACTGGAGTTAGTAGCAACAGAGATGTTACCATCTCTAGGCATAATTGGATGAAGAGAGGAAACAGATACTGGCATCCTGAAAGAGAGCTGAATACAGTCAGCTGCCTAAAGGGACAGTGACCTTTGGTAAAAGGGCAGATCCATTTCAAGGTGATCTTGCAGGGAAAGAGTTAGATGAATAAGTCCCTGACCTCACTCTCCTCCTCTGTCATCTCTTGCTGGAAGTCCCTCTTGGTCAAACCCAAAGGGAAGCAGAGGGCATGCGAAGTGTATTGATATAGTTGGTGCAGATCAGTCTCTTGAAGCAGAAAGTAAGGTGGAGAAGAGTAGATGGATCTGCAGGAGAAAAGTTAACAAACATATCCAACATATTTTGATGCTCTTGGTTGGCATGAGTTGCAAATATCATGCCCCTAAGAGGCAGAGAACAGTAAGAGGATTTCCCTGTCCCTTTATTCCTTATCAAAACAGATATTATCTTCTTCCAGTCTCCTGTTTGAATCTAATTGACCAAACATTCTATGGTTCTGGATGGCATTGCTTACTCTGTGACTCAGGGCGTTTTGCAGGTAAGGGGTGGGAGTGAGGGTGTTCTCACCTTTAGGATAAGTTTCTGAAGGATGACAGGCCTGTCCTCTTATTGCCTTCTTATAGGGTGGATCCTTGATGATACCCAATCATAATTTTCTTATTTCACCCAAAATACTGAAAAGGAAATTTCTGTTTATTCTCTAATCATAAAAAGCAAACAAGAGTGACTTCTAGCAGGAAATTTGCAGACATTACATAGTCTCCTTTTCAGTTATACCAGGTATCCTATATTTTAGTGGAAAGAACATGTAGATTTGGTATAACTTGCTTAAGAATTATAGATCGGGTGACAATATAATTTATTATCTAAACTAGGACAGTTTTAATTGTGAAAGAGGACACCATTAATTATTATGCTGGGAAAACAATTGTAAAACAGGACCGTCCTAGGTCAACCAGACATTTGTATGAACAATTGCTATGTCTGCTGATTCCATCTGTTTCCTGTGAAAAGGAAAAAAAAAATGTTATTTGGTAAGATCATAGGGTTTCAGGATCCATATTAAACACCTTTTTGAGAGTCTTCCATACTTTCTATAATGCATTTTCCTTTGAAAACTACATAATCTCATTAAATTGGTGGATTTTCCTCACCTACTTTAAGCATGCATTCTTAGATACTAGGAGAAAATATCATGAAAGAGTGCTAGGAAAAAATTTTCTAATTCATAAATTTTTTGTAAATTTAAAAGGGGTCATGAAAACATAAGGTGTTAAGGCTTCAGGTGGCCCATAAATATGTAGCTTTACTACTCTGAGTAATCACGATTTCATCTATATCCTGATGTTTTTTGACCTTGACATTTCAAAGTTTTGGGGAGTTGTATTTCTACTAAGTGGTAGAAAGTAAAATTTACTTCTGAGGCTCATTTCTTTTCCTTTTTTTCTGGAAAAATTACCCAGTAGGACTCTGGGTATGTAAAGCTAAAGCAAAGATCCTCCCCTGTAACAAAGTGTTTCAAGACAATGTGCCTCCAAGAATCTAAATTGCTCTACATAATATTGCAAAAGATTGTTTTCAAAGTCATTTTATATTTGTATTTTTGAATGCTCAGTTCCAGCAAATTACTGCTTATTCTTGGGAGGAATATGTTTTTCTATGTTTATGTGAATGTTTGTGTATGTATATTCTTTATGTATTTGAAATTAGGACCCATGACTGTAGGAAAGACATGTAGATATGATCTTCCTTGTATCTTGAACTATAAAAGAGATCGTATAAACAAGCTGATCTATGTTCGGAGCATCATAGTCTGGACTAAAGTCTTGAGGTCACAAATTCATAGTTAAGACCAAAAAACTCAAAGTTAGGAAAATGTATCATTGTTGTATCATTGTGTGCAGTACCACCGCCTCTGCGTTTTGTAAGACTGGACAGTGACCACCATTTACATTCTACTCTGGTATGGTATGTCTAGTTGGGATTACAGGATGTTAAGACAGAGACTAGCTAGCTAGCTTGAGGGAAAAATGCAGGTTCCCCACCACACAACAGAAACATGGTGCTAGCAGGAGTGCTCAGCAA